CAGGGGCCAAGCGTCTTGAGCTGGTGTGTGACTGAAGCAAGCACAGCAAATGCCTCTTCTTAGAGTACTATAAATAATGTTTATCATCAGGCACATTAAATTGCTTTGCAACAGTAAAAGTAAGAGAGGTACCAAAAGCCAAAAATGATATTCAGCACTCTCTGATGATAAGCTGTCACTGTCAGTTACCGAAGATGACTGGGAGTCGACAATGTTGACAAGTGTCTGCCCTCTGCTGGATGTAATGACAGCGACTTGGGCAAATGGAGAGGACACAATAATGTCTCCTGGATCACAGCACAATTCTGGCTACTTCTAGGACAACACAAACACAATAGGGATGACTTGACCTTTTCTTGACGTAAGAACTTAATAGAATAGTCAGTGGATGCAGGGGCACAGTAAGGACAGCAGTGACCTGAGGGAATGAACCCCACTGTGCTCTGAGAACACCAGGAATGGACACACACAAGTCTGCACCCCAAGAAGCCTCTCAAAAGCACAGACTCCTCCCAAGCACAAAAGTGGAAAGGCCTGGAGCCCAGCTGAGAAACTGGCTTGTATTAAAGCGTGACTGAGATAGTGACAGGAGCTGAGGTTGTTCCTCTTCTCTCCTTTCCATCTCCGGTTGACCTCCCCGGGCCTCTGCATTCTACACCCCATAGTCCCAGTCCCGCCTGGTCCCAGAAGCAAGAAGGGAACCCTCAGAGGAGATCAGCGAGGACACGAAAGAGGAAGAAGGTATTCTTCCTGACGGAGCTGAAGAGGTGAAGCGAAAGGCCCAGTATTGAACCTAGCACTAAAGCCTGGAGGCCCGACTGGCTCATGAAGAGACTCCACAAAGGATGAAAGTCCTCACTCATCACCAGCCAGCTTGCGGGATAACCTAGATTCTTCTTGGCCCTGCTTCCTCACCCACTGGATTTTTCCATGTCCGTAGGCGGATATGGAGTCAGCGCCTAAGCAGATTATCTCAGCTTGCCAGCCAGGAAAGACTGATTTTTATTGGGGGCTGTTGATAGGGAAATGTGGGTTGAAGAGGGTTTTTGAATGCATTTCTTCGGTTAAATTGAGACTTCTACCCCCTTACGGTACCCCAGGTTAGGGGCCTCAAATAAGAAAGACTAGGGTTGCATAATGTTGAAAACATTTTCTTTTGTGAGGAACTGGAGAGATATGATTTCTCCTTTTGGAAGAGTATTTCCAAAAATTGGTTAGGCCAAGCCTTGGAAATAACATAGCAGGTTTAACATCCTGAGGCTAACCTGACATAGTTGGAAAATCTTGGGCAAGTCATCTAGCCTCTCTAAATTTCTATTTCCTCATCTTTAAAACCAAGTTAAATATGTGTAAGATTGATTCTGATTCTAAAATCCTGTACCTGCCAGCAGAAGCCTATGAGTACTCCAGAGGCAAAGTACTTCAGAGGGGAGCTGAGTGAGGTCTGCATGGGGAAAGAGGGAGTTTGGGACTTGAGGGCTATAAATTCAGGCAAAAAACCCTCACAGGTATCATAGTCTTGAGGACCAAGGGAAAAAAAAACTATTAAGAAGCTAGGCACAGAGCCAGGTGAAGTGGACACCCATAGTCCAGAAAGGAGGTAGGTTAAGGCAGGAGGATCACAAGTTCAAGTCCCACCTGGGCAACTTAGCAAGACCCTGTTTCAAAATAAAAAAAATAAAAATGCCTGGGGGTGTAGCTCAGTGGCTGAGTACTCAGTGGCCCAATACACCCTCTCCCCCAAATGAAGTTAGTCATGGAAGCTTCTTGGCTGTGACCATACCCACTTTCCTGGCCTACATCCGGGCCTTGGCTGCCAAAAAGATACACCTGAGGAGACATGCTTGGTCATGGCCTCGTGTTTCTGATGTAATCAAATGCCAGGGGTGTTGTTAGGGAGAAAGAGAGGATAAATTGAGCTCCCTACCCCAAGAGGGCTTAGTCTACTGCAGGGCTGGAGCAGCAGGTTTTTAGCAGCGTTGCTTCATAACGGGTGGAAGGAAGAAAGGGGTTGTGGTGACTAGCGTGCATCTTCCATCTAGTGACTCTTACCGAATGCTTTCTATTAGTTATAACAAAGAGGGCTGGGGTGAGAACTGACTACTGAAGAGAGCAAGATTCTCTAATCTTTTCTCGCCCTTTCACCTCACAAACTCTGATATGCGGACCACGTGACCCAGTGAGAATGCCTGGCGAGCTTGCTGATGTGGATGTGGAGCGATGACTGTCAGTTTTCAGACTGTCATTCCAATTGGATGCGACAAGGATAAGGAGGAAGGAATGGAGACAGTAGGACCCCTGGATTCTCTGGCCCCCAGCTCCTTGACTATCACTTGTAATTTACATAATTTTAGTGTTTCTTGCTCCATTTCTCCACGTTGTCATCCTTAATCCAAAGTCCACATGGGGAGGGGGAAATGCTGAACATTATTATATAGTTTCCTCAATTGTCCCATATATAATAACAGGACATAACTTATTTTATATATATATTTATTTATTTATTTATTTATTTATTTATTTTTTTGGTATTGGGAATCAAACTTAGGCCCTGTGCTTGTCAGGCAGGTGCTTGTGCTACTGAGCTGTATCCCTGGCCCTTATTATAATTTATATATAATATAGATATAATTTTGTATGTTTTCTTTATCTCTGATCTCAAATTTTGTACTTTTTTCTTTTCTGTCTGCGCTGCTTTTATGGCTCAGTTGGAGTCCTCAACACTGATGTTTACAGTAAGTGTGGTTTTCAGGAACGAATTGAAGAAATGGGAAATTGGACAAACTGCTGATCTCTCTCTTTCTCTACCTGGCCACCTTCAAGGCTAAGGAAATAGAGGTTACATTCTGTATTTGTCAACTGTATCTATATCACAAAGTACAGTGCATAGCTTCCTCAGCAAGGAACGGTAATTTGAAAATCCAAATGGAAATTGCTTTGATTAAACCTAGGTTATTAAATCTACTCAGTATGTGTTTTGGTCCTGGACCCACACAGTCACTGCCTCGTGTCCCCTGCTGTGAGCGGCTGCAGCCACACCTCTCATACCAAGTCTGCTCTGAGCTAGGCACCTTACTCTCTCAGAAACCTCTAGTTACTCTGATCTTGTTCAAAAATTGTTTGTCTATGTTTGTTTTCCATAAGTATCTTTAAAAAGGCAAAACCAAAACAAAACAACTGAAACAGCCAAAACACAAGATCCCTTTTCTGCTTATGGATAGCAAAGGTCTGAAAAAACAAACAACAAAAAAACAACAAAAGTAACCTTGCTGGGGATCAAACTCAGGGCCTTGTGCACGCTAAATACATGCTCTACCATTGAGCTACACCTTCAACCAAAAGTAATTTTGGAAAAGAATATGTACTGCTATCAGACTGCTTCACATAAGCCAAATCCTCCCAAATTGAAGACTATCCTTTTTAGCAGACACTCAAGAATTCTGACTAGGTTTTTAAAAATCTAAAGTATGATAATTTCCTTACTTTAATAATCTGAGCATTCTGAGTTCCATTTGATGTAGGGGGTGACTGAAACCCTTCATAACAAGTATCTGTATTATATGGCTTTATGTCACTGTAGTATCTTCAGAGACCACTAAAGAGTATCCAGTTATTCACTACTTAGCTTTTTAAGTGAACATTAATTCTGTAAGGGCCTCTCTATTTGCAGATTCTGGATACATTTGTTTCTAGAAGTGCTTCCCTAGTCCTGCTCTTAGCCTCTCTACTATAACCTCTTCCTAGTTTACAGTTAAGATGAACCAGATGACTGAAGTTATCAGGAGTCCCAGCTGGACATGCAATTCCAAATCTCTAGGCTCTGGCCTGAGTGGCTCCACGCTGGGTACACTAAGAGAGTTTGTTAGCTTTGTACCCAATGTTGAATTTGTTCTATTTTATTTTTCACTTATGCTCAAACTTCATTACTGAGTTTGCTAATAAAAAAGCTTTATGAATGAAGAAAATACTACTGAGGAGGTAAAAGGAACGGTATAGTGCTAGAAAATAGGAATTGGGGCCTTTCCACACATTAAATAAAATCATACTACTTTTAATCTAGTAAACTTGGAATACAGACAATTAACACATTTATCTGCAGAATGAAGGGCAAAGCTACCCTAAAATAAAGTCTTGATTATTATTATTTCTATTACATCTACTATATCCTATACTCCAAAATTTCTTTCATAATTTTGAATATAATGTCTAATGTCTCAATGCACATATGAAATTGTCGGTGCAAATAAGCTTAAATGAATCACAACTGCTTTTCTCAAAGAACTGAACTAAGTGTGAAATACACTGCAGTCTCAACTGCTTTGTGCCCCATCGTCGGCCTCAGGGGCACAGACGTCAGTTTAAAGCAGGTGGTTCCAAATCTGCCTGTAGTCCCGACCCCTAGTTGGTGTTATATTGAGGCCTCTACACTGCCCCACAGGCTCCTCCTTGCTGCAGCTGAGTTGCTTTTGTTAATCAGATGGTGTTCCTGCACTAAGACTCCTGCCAGCTCCCAACAGTTACTATTTGAGCCTAAACTCCTCAGCCCAGAGATCAAACAGTCCAGTTCCCGTGTACTTTGCCAACCAAGTCTTTCGCTTTGTGCCTTTTTCTCTTTCTATTCTCCAGCCACGCCCCCTCACAAACTGTCCCAGAACAGCTCGGGGCCTATTGCTGCCCCAAGGTATTTAAGTGGTTCTCCTGCCTGATATGTCAAACTTCCCTCCAATTCCTTCCCCTCAGACATCCTCCTTTGGGAGTGGCCTCGGCCTCCCTGCCTCCCACCCTGACTGATTCTCCTATGACATTCAGCACAGTCCATGGTCAGGGCTATTTAGGAATGTGTACCCACTTCCAAGACCTCAAGGCCTAGACAGCGCCAGGCAAGTCTTTTTGTTCTCCCCATGCTACTCAGCACAGGCCCTAAGAAGACAGTGGATTTTAAGCGAAGGAAAGAAGCCAGGGCCTTGCCCAAGCGCAACTCTCCCCTTGTGCATACGTACGATTTCCACAGTTGAGGCCACCAAGGCCGAATGGGCAACTGCAAGTCAAGAGAGAAAAAGCAACAAGAATTAGTTTCAAATCTCAAATGAAACGACAAAGGAAATTTATCTGAGTCATTTCTTTACTTAGGATAGTTCTTCCTTAGGACAGACTTTATTTTAGGATAGTTTTACAGTAAGATTTGTAACATCTTCACCAGAATAAATGAACACGGACCTACCTCATACAGGTTTCATTTTCAAGTCTATAGCCATCTTCACAAGCTGAAAGAAGAAAAGGAAAATCCATTAATGTTCATCTCCCATGGGTCAACTTACATGAATTAAATGCCACCTATTCTACTGTCCACAAGACTGTTATAGAACCAGAAGGTTGCAGATAACTGAAATTATCTGTAACCTAACTAAATACTGTTGCCAGCCCAACTCAACCTCAGTAAGAAACTTTTCTTAACCTCTTTGTGGCTCTCAGTTCCCCACCTATAAAATGATAACAACAATAACAAAACTACCTTATAGTCTCTTAGAGGAAATTAAATAAAATGAAGCCTGCAAATGGTTCAGCATAGGCCTGACATACATCAACCACTACATAAATGTTCATAGTTGTAATTATCAGCAAATGTAATTCTTTTTGGAAATTCTCTACAGATAAAAAATGTCTCAGCTGGGCATGGTGGCACACACGTGTAACTCCAGCACCCTGGGAGGCTGACATGAGAGGATACACAGTTTGATTCCAGCCCAGGCAACTTAGTGAGATCCTGTCTCAAAAATTTAAAAAAAAGCGCTGGAATGTAGCTCAGTGCAAAGGTCCTGGATTCAATTCCCAGTACCACAAAAAAAAGTCTCCTGTGGAACATTCTTTCATATGTACAAGGACAAACCTTTAAATCTTTGCCTTCTCTGACGTACATCAAACTTTTAATCTAACATTGGTCTTATTAGCCTGCTTCCATGAGGTAGAAGTTATAGGTGATACTTTCTGAGACATGATTCTGGTGGTACCCAGCTTTTTATAAGAAAATCCTCATTTTATAATCTGAAAGGAATTCTACACATATCTAGATGTGACCTAATTGACACCTTGCCCACAAACAACTCTAAACCCGCTGGTGGTGCCACTCCTGGAACGCTGCTTCACTGAAGAGACCCAGTTCTTCCCTGGATCACCAGTTCCCAAATCTATTTGATCATGGAAATACTTTCAACACTGCAATACTACAACATAGCACCATAAACTGTAATGAACGCTTGGATGAAGGCAGATAATGAAAAAAACGGCCTCGCACACAAATTCTCTGATGCAAGGAATGATTAAAAAATTGATCCATGATTAATGTATGGTAGCAGTGCATGAAAGATTACAGATGAAAAAAGGTATGAGGTACCAAGGCTGCTGTCTCTGAACAGGCAGCAGACATACTGAGTTCTAAATACTCGTAGGATGCATGATGAGAGGTAAGACTGGCAGGGTGGTGTGCAGACCCTGAAGATCCTTTTCCAGAGTTGTGCCTGTCACCATTTATTAACTGTGCAGATGTGTTTAATATTTTTTCCTTCTACTTTTTTAATGGGAGAGGTTAAATGTTTCTGGCATTTATTTTACTTCCTAAATAACTTATCATAACTAGCATTTTGCAGAACACAGTTTGGAAAACCCTATTCTAAATAATTTGTAATTTGAGCTGGGCAGAGTGGTGCATGTCTATAATCCCAATATTCTGGGAAGCTGAGGCAGGAGGATTGCAGGTTGGAGCCTAGCTTGCCAATGTAGTGAATTAGCAAACCCTATCTCAAAATTAAAAAAAAATACATAACTACACAATCTATAATTTATCTCATGGCGGATTATGAAAGAGCTATGAGCCTGGACTGCACTGTTAAGGTTCCACAGAATCACTTTCCCCAAGCTACATTCTCTTGTTCCAAAGGGTATTATTTTGTAAGAAGTAGCTACAGAAAATCCTTATGGCATTTATTACAGGACGTCATGGACCACACTGCCACAATACCCCTCAGTTACCTCTTGGTGAGGGTGCCCAGGGAAATTTCTCTTGGAGCCCAGTGCTTCGGAATATCGGAGATGGTTCCTAGACAAAGGCACTTTATTTTATGGAACTTGGCTAGTTTTAAAAATTAATTTTGCCTTAAACCTGATTTACTTTTTAATATTTTAAAATCTTATTTCACTATATCACTTTTTATTAGGTGCTTTAGATCCTTTATGCAAAAAGACAGAATATGTTATTATCCCATTTGGGGACAGGGTAACAAGACCTTATCTCCCAGTCTTTGATGCCTCTGAATTCTTTGCTGGCTTTATGACAGGGGGTCTTCCCGAAGGAACAGGCTGAGCACCCTTGTCTTTCCTGGGTACTGAGGTGGGTTGATGCCCCCTAGTTTGCTGTACTCTGAACTCTTCTTCCTGAAAACATTTTTGTATCAAATTTACCTACTTAACACTCATCTGCCGTGCAGGAACTCTACTCTTGGCTGACATCCAGCCATACGTAAGGTCCATCTGCTGTCCTGCATGAGAGCCAATGGGCTGGGATATTTTCATCAGTAGCAGAAGTGGTCTGATTCCCTGGTATCTATTTCAAAAGGGTTCATTCACTCATTCATCAAAGACTGAATGCCACTGTGTGCCTGGTGCTATGCTGGGGGCCCTGTGGGGAACCACTTCACAGTGAGACACTCCTGTGCTCATCAGGAGCCAGCTCCTCATTATGTACAGCCCGGAGGGATGCTGACCACACAGCACTAAAGATGAAATGAATGTAACAACAGCTTACATAAATGCCCCAACTGGGCTTCCCCCATTGCTATCAGAGACAGGCAAATTAAAGCATTAGGGATTTAAAAAATAAATAAATGAGAGAGTCTTAATAACAATTTTGTTCCTTTGCGGGTAGTAAGTCAAGAGGTGCCAATCTTTTCCTACCATATTTGCTGTCTCACTGTCCATGTGTTCATTCAACAGTCACTTACTGAACCCTACAATGTGTTAAGCCCTATTCTAGATGTGATTCTGGCCCTAAAGGCACTTGCAGTCTAGTGAGATGCAAACAGATTGCTAGAATTCATCGTAATGCCTACTTGATGGAAAGAAGCTAAGAAACCTAAAGAAAGGGTACCTGTTTTAATTTTTTAACTAGCTTTCAAAGTCTGGTAAAGACACTGTAAAGATTTTCATGTGAGACCCTAAGGAGCATGCGTGTTTGTGTATAACTGAGAACAGTACAAAAACTAGTTTGAATTGCACTGATCTAGAAATAATTCCTCCATTTCCCCAGGGGACTGACAAATTGGAGGCATCCTGAAGGGTTATCATTTGACACATCCTGTGCTCCAGCACCCACGGCCAGAAGATGTCACTACTAAGCCATGAGAACCCAGCTGACAAGGCTGCGGCCCACAAAGCTCCAGGATCCACTCCTGGGAGGCCTGATGGCCACGGTGCTGCTGAAAAGGGGCTTCATGGCCTGAGCAACAAGCCCACAAGCTAACCAAGGTTTTCTCACACCACTTCTTGGGTCATTACTTGATAAATGTAAAACTGCCGGGACCTATGTCATTATACTTGGCAAATCTCTGACAGCTCTGCTTTTGCTAATGCTAGCCTCTGGCACAATTATGAAATTGCTGACTTGGAAACAGAGGGAAGTAGCTCATGCCAGCTGGAAGCAAGGGTGGCAGGCTGGGCTGTTCTTGGAGCACCGCTCACAGAGGCCACCTCCTTACATGCCTGCACTTTTACCCCTATTGTCCCCTCCCGGCATCTGCATAGCACCTGACACACAGGGGCTTCAGTGCCATCGCCTTCCCATGTGAAGCCAGGCTCGATTCCCTGTTCCTTCTTTTTATTTTATGAAAAAACAAAATAAAACAAAATTTCATAATCAAATAAGAAAATATCAACAGTTATTACACTGTGTATCACTGTCTTCAAAGTGGTTATCAGAGTATAAGACATAAACCAAAACGGTTCTCACAAAAAAGAAACAGATAAAAGCAATCTTTCTTTTCAATGATCTAAGAAAACTAGTATTACAAACGAAACCGATTAGCATATATATTGAAATATTTTTAAAACAATGGGATTGTAATTTGGGGAAGTATTTGAACTTCTTATGTCCTATTTATCTCTTTACCTTGATCTTTATCTTTTTGTGTGTATATATAAATATCTATATTTCTCATAAAGAGAAGCTATGCAATATTGAGCTTGAGTACCTGACTTATTTCATCAAACATTATGTTCTCAAGTTGTACCCATTTTCTTATGAATGCCTCAAGTTCTTTACAGCACAGCCTACAAATGCCTCAAGTTCATCTTTCTTTATGGCAGAGTAGTACTCTATTGTGTGTAAATACATTTTCCTTATCCATTCAATTGTTGATGGACATACACTGTTTCCAACATGTGGCCATTATAAACTGCTATTATAAACATGGGTATGGAAGTATCCCTGTAGTAGGATGATTTGAACTCTTTTGTTAACTCCTCATTTCTAAGAAGATCAAGAAACACTTGCATTAGACCAGGTAAGAGGGAACTAGGAAGTGCCATCTCTTTGTAGCAAAGCAACAGACTGGCACGGCAATGAGAGAAGCTGTAGAGCAGTTGTAAGTGGTACTGATGCCCAGCTCAGAGAGCTGGTTCTTTAAGACCCACCACGGGTCCTGCCTGGAGAATGATCTTGCTCACTTTGAAAGAACTTTGTTCTTAAACCTAACAAGGTCAGATGGTCTGAAGATCAGGATGAGAGTGCTGCCCCAGAATGTATTTTTACATTCTTTGGATGGAACAAGCCCTTTGGTGGAAGTCCTGACAGAAATAAGTGACATGTCACCTTGCCCCAGTATGTGATTTTTACTCAGATCCCAGTACATCTGTCACCAGCAAGGTGTTGACTGGGCAGGAAATCTGCTGTCAACTGCATTCCATTGGGAGGCAATACTTAAAGCTACATAAAAAACAAAAACTAGCCTATATTTACAGTGCCAGCTTTTCTGCTGCTGATGAATTGCAGCAATCTTTTATGTAAGAGTGTACTGTGCTCTGGTCCTGAATTAATTTTATTTTAAAGCAATATTCTCAGACTATACTCACGGAGCAGGCTTTATCTCAAACTGAGTAATTGAAACCTCACCTAAAAGGTTAGAAGAATTAGATTTCAGCTCTCAAACACTTCATGAAAGCTTTAAAACTACAACTCATTAATTCAACATCAGCCTGGGTAAAATACAAGAGCAAATGCTGATGGCTTACAAAGTACTTCTCCACACACTTCCTTTTTCTAATTATTAGAAATAACTAATGAAATACCATAATACTCATTTCACAGAAGAGGAAACTGAGGCTTGGGGAAATGAACTAACTTGCCCAAAGATGAAACCCAGTGAGGAAGAGTATGGCTCTGCTTCAGGTCTTCTGAGCCACAGCTACCTCTAAAAGGCACAGGCCGGGCTCCATGCTTGTATTTCCATTTTAAAAGATTAACAGGCAATAGATAAAGCTGTGGTAACTATAACAATGATTTTTCTAACTTCCTCTAAGTGAAAAACAAAACAAAACAAGCATCGCTCCTACAGGTATTCCATTCTCTTTTCTTTTCCTTTCCCCTTTTCTTTTGAATGGAACTGGATAGATCAGCATGTACCAGTCAGACAGAGATAATGCTATTATTCTAAGGAGATAATGTAGTCAATGCTGCTGTGAACAAAATAACAAGAACCAGTCACCCCCAACTTAGAAGAGTTGCACCCAGAGGAGAGAGGGAGAGGACTACACAGAGAAGAGCATCTTCCTGTTCTAGGACAGCGCAGAGCAGCAGGTGAAACCGTGGCTACCTCGGCAGGAGTGATCCATCTTGTTGAACTGAAAGTAGCCCGATTTGCACTGGCACAGTGCAACTCCATCCAGGTCGGTACAGATGGAGGTCTCTTTGTCACACTGTGGACTCTTCCGCTTGCACAAGCTGCCCGCTGAAATGGAAAAACAAGACAGTGAAAACAAAACAAAACCTTTTCCACTTCAAAACTTAAGATGCATGAACTTGGTATTCCAAGAGGCTCTGAAAAGTTTTCCAAGGTTGCTCTACACTGCCTTCTGCCACCCCTTCTCTGTGTCAGCTCTGGCCCCTAGCACTGAGTGTTCACAAGCACTCCTCACTGAAAACGTAGTCACGGAGAAAACATACTGGAGGAGGTGCAGCACCCAGTGCAAATGAGGCCTCAAGCTGGGGTGTTCTACACCTTCAGTGCTAGAGGACTAGGTGGGGGCAGCAGGAGGACTGGGCCAAACCCAGAAAACATGACCATGTTTTTAGGTAGCTGAGAAACTTAGGTCACAGACAGTTCTTACTACATGGATCTGTCTCAAGTAGAAGCACGTCTCAGGTCTGTGTGTCTGTATGGCCTTGGGCAGTGATGGCGAACCTTTCAGAGATCAAGTACACAAACTGGAACTCAAAACCCACTTATTTATCACAAAGCGCCAGTGCTGCCCCCGTGAGTGCTGTTATCCGGTGTGCAGCTGCTGGAGTGATGCTGGAGCTATTTAGCTTGTAAATGACAGAGAGGGCTCTGCATGCCCACCGCAGCACATGTGACACAGGTTCACCACCACTGGCCTGGGGGATGCGGCACACTCCTGCCAAGTAGCTTGCTGCCCTGACAGTGCGTGCACTGCCCAACAGAAGAAGTACCTGACTGCCTATGCTGGAGTGTAGTTGTGTCTATCTGGTTGTCTCTCCCACTACAGTGATGGTGTCTTATTCACCTCTGGGCCTTTGGTACCTAGTATGTCCACAGGTAGGACTGCCTGTGCTGAAGATGTACCAGTTCATTGGTCACAGCACCACTACCAAGAGAAGCAGAGGTGGGCAAGGTGGAAGCCAATCTGGCAGGCTGCTTCTATGTTCACTTTAGGGCTTTATTTATTTCTTAAGTGACAAAGAATCATTTCATTATTGTAAAGCATTCATTGTTGGGCACACGCTCCTCTACGAATTTATTACAGCAGATACAACGAGGGCACATTTTACCATCTGAGGCAGACCTACCGAAAAGGGTCCATGTAATAAACGGGAGTGCTCAGACAGAAGAGCAAAAATATGAAACCAACTGGACGGTGAACACCCACATATGGGGCAAGGGAAGATAAGCGTGCACTGTTATTGGGAGGCAAGAGCAAGTTCAACACGGGAGGAAGGCGGACATGGGAAGGGACATGTATATTGCTGGTGCTGAGCGGTGTGCTGCCAATTCTCTAGCCATGGTCTGCCTTCTTCTACTCTAAAGGAACCTCAACCTGTTCAGAAATGAGGCAGCAGCTGTGGCCACTGCAAACCTGCTCCTTGGCCAGGCAGGCCCTGGAAGAAGGGCTAGCATTAGGGCTCATCAGCCCACACAGGATCCCAGCAGCCATTCTGGTAGGGAGTTTTGAGAACTCAAGTCAGGGAGCAGCCTGGGCACTGCAAGGTAAGTTAAGGACACAGCTTCAGTTCTCAACCCCGAATTTCCTGCCTTTATCAGTGGAAGTGCGCATGCTAAATCAGAACCCCATTTGTGTGTGACTGAATTTCCTTTGTTTATTGTAAAAAGTCTGTATTTAAGGGGGAAATTTTTTTAATGGAAAATCTCACCAAGCGAACACTGCGAAGTTGGCATCAGGAAGGTACTGAACCTCTACTACCCTCATCTAAACTCTTTGAAGGCTTTGCCAGTCCACTACCCTTAATAGAAAAAGAAATACTGCCAGGACAAAAAGTTATCTGGGCATCCCTAGCCTTGTCCAGCGGCCAGCCTGGACTGCCGGGTCTGATTAGATATTTTCTGGAAGCCAATGTCATGTTTTCTTTCCATCCTGCCCACGGATCTAGGCTGCAGGCAAACACTCTTTGCTGTGCTGAAGCAACTGATCCCTGCACAGAAACAGATTTACGCAAAATCAGGGAGAACAAGCTCTGCCTCTGCAGTAAGGAGCTACCTTCCTCAACATTCTCAAAGAATGTTTTATCATAATTCCATCAAACAAAACCACATACAAGATATGATCGAAATATACAGGGAATGTTTAAATTTTTAAAAAATTACAGTAAAAGACGTATTGCCATTAATCTCCTTCAAAATACTCTCCCTTCTCTTCAAATACACTCATCCCATCATTCTTACCACTTTCTCAAGTGGCCCTGGAAGTCCTTTTCCTGAGTGTCTGTAAGGTGATAAAACATAGAGCGAATGCTGCTGCCAACTGCCATCCATGGAAAGGTCGGCTTGTAAAGCGCTTCTTCACCCACCTTACTCACTGGATCTGGCAGAGTGTGACTTCTGACTCCTTCCCAAAGTCAAAATGAGCATGAAGGGTGAACATTTTCAATGGACTCAGGACACTGAGGCAGCCACGAAAGTGCAACTGAAGACGCTCACAAAAAGGACTTCCAGAACTGCTTCGAAAAGTGTCAAGAATGATAGGAAAAGAGTGTTTGAAGCAAGGAGGTGCACTTTGAGCAGGATTCATGACAATATGTCTTTTACTGTAACATGTTTTTTAAAAAAATTAAACCTTCACCATTTTTTTGACCACACTTCATATAATCTCATTTTCATTTTAAGCCTGATGGTGTGATTTTTCTACATTCACAGTTCCCATGGTCTTTCCTGGGCATAACATCCGCCCAAACAGACAATGAGCACTCAAGTAAATCTAAGGCTGAGACATTCCATGGGGGATTTCCAAGGTCTACAAACCTCTGGAGACCATGAGAACTGCAGTTCTTTGTAAAGCAGGGAAGTGGATGGTTTGTGAATAGAAGGGAAAAAAAACCTCCTTTCCAATGCAAGTGTCCAGAATAGCCAAGTACTCTCCACATGCCGGAAACACCTAGACGTCAGAACCTGACAGCTCCTACTAGTCAAGCCATCTCCCTAGAAGTCAGAAAAGTTACCAAGGGACTTGGGTAACTTGGGGTGTGCTTGCAAAACCTGGAGGGAAAAACAGGCAAGTGAGCCCATTTTTAGTCAACATGCATGGCTATTTCTGTTCTCAAAGGCTCTGAAAGGAGAAGTAAAGACTGAGGGCCTCAGAAAGGAAGCAAGGATGACAGGAGCCACACTGCAAGCCACATCAAATCAGTTCAAAGAACAAAAGTCAGAGAGCATCAGGGCTGCTATGAGCAGGCTCTTACAAATCCGTCTCTCGCCACCTGATTTGCAAGGCACAAATACATTTACAGAGGACAAATGAGTACTATTTGTACAAATGCTGACCATATAAAACGTACTCCATAAATATGGAGTGAGTTGAAAGGTTCCTGCCTCACTGGGGAGGAAAAACTGGTACACCTGAATCCTTGGCAAAAGAAACAAAAAAGTCAAACCAAAGAGCCTCAGTTTTCAGGACAGTATAATGGGGCATACACCTTATCCAACATCCCATTTGAAAGCCACTAGAGTTATTTTCCAGAGTTACTAGAAAGTTTAATCCATATTTTCAAATTAATAGTTAGCCCTTAAGTTGGCCAAACTCCAGCACTTTTTCCAAGGTGAAAGGTTAACTACCCAGCTCTCAAGTTCCACAGTATGCAAGGCCACAGAAGAAAATTCAATGGACCGGCAATTACAAAAACCTAACCCACTGGAGTGTCCTAGATCAACCAGTACACAGAACGCAAAACCTCATCTTTCACCTTCTGTCCAGCATCTGGATGCCAGACGGGGAGGTTTACACTACATCCCGCATCCTCTGCCAGCACTTGTCCTGTGGTAAGATGAGCTAACTAGAACCCACTTTGATCACTTATGATGTGCCAAGTGGGACCAGCCCCTTCTGCAAAGAAACACCATTGATTCTAGCTGCTTTCCCATCCCAGAGGTGAAACTTCCCCTCCAAGACCCAAATCTGCCTTCTAAACTTGTCTCAAATTCCTTTCTTCATGTGCCTTACTCTCGATGCACTACAGAAGCTTTTGATAAAACAGGCAAAGCAAGAACAAGAAAAAAAAATCATCATTGTTATTGGTGCCACTGCGAGTATTCTGCTATGTATTCTTCTAGTGTTGTTATGTGTGTTTATAATTTGTAAATAAGCAAAAAAGGTAGGTGATACTGCACATGCATTTTTTACTTAATAGTGATCATGATGAAGCTTTTGGGGTCACTGACAAGCAGATATGCTTCTGTGTGTGAGTTTTTCTCCCTTGGGAACAAAAGTAGTTAGCTTCTCCTTATTACATTAGATCCTATATCCCTCTCCTTCCCACCCCTACACCATACAAGAGAAACAGAAGGGGCTGCACGTCACGGACCAAGTGCCCTCAAGGCTATGTGCATGCAGGGCTCTGTGGGTGTGTATGTGTGTGCATGTGTGTGTGTTTGTGTGCACCTGCACACCCCCACAAAGGCGCAGACATACAAAGTCCTCTTGCTCCACATCCTTTCCAAAGGCAGGCTCTCTGATGAGTTTTTCTGGGTTTGAGCCCAGAACACCTTCTATCCCTGGGGTCTGAATGTGTGGGTCTGGGTCTGAATGTGTGGGCAGGGTCCTCCCCAAGGACCTTTACATCTCTTACCTCTAAAGACCCGGGCCTGGGATCCCAAGAGTTGGCAGACCTCAGCAGAGGACCTGCAGGAGTTGACAAATTTCTGAATCCCATCGTTCAGGTCAAACAGTGTCACACTGGAGGCCAGGGAAAAGGTGGTTTGCAGGGAAGTCACAAATGCACTGGACTCCCTAGGGGCAAAAGTTGTGAAAGTTTACTTGACCTAAATGACACGAGGACCCCAGAGTTTTTAAAAAATAAGTGTCATCGCTATTCTCCAGAAGGGAGTAAGAGCACATGAAGGTCCGTGACCTTGACCCTGGGCCGCACAGTGACCCCGCTGAAGTAGAGCCCAGTTTTGTTGCTACTGTCCATGTTAGAATAGCCTCCCTTTTCCAGAGACTGGTTCACAGACAAATATAATTCTGTTTCTTACCTAGATACGTGAGCCGTGGATCGGATATAACCAGGTAATGTTGAAAAACACATATTTAACTGCAAGGAAGAACAGGTTGATCAGTAATTGCAAGTTAGACAAAAGCCTTTGACCAAGAACCTATTTTCAGGATAAAATAGACATTTTCCAGCCACCAAGTTATCAGCAGGCAGCTTTGCACACAAGTGGTGTCCTTTTTTCGGTTCCTCTCTTAAATGCCTGTCTGTTGTTCCCTGAGTACAAAGGGACAGAGGCAAATAGTAAATCAGCGGGGAAATCTTGGCAGGAAATGATGTTCAGAACAGCACCCTTGGACACAAAACATCTTCAAAGGAGCAGATCTCTTCTAAGACCTGGGGTTTCAGAAAACTCAGCGGCAACTGTTTATTTGGATTCTGCTCAGTGAACGGGCACACTGAAAAGACTCAAATTCTCTCAGCTTCCCCAGGACTCATGCGCCCGACACAGAGCCCTCATAATCGGCAGTGAGTTGACCTAACTCAAAGATAGGTGTTCTTCAAAAAGGCTCTCCGCGGGAAATTACATTCTGTCAGTCAAGAGCCCTTTTGTACAATTCTTTTTTTTTTTTTGTCTTTTTGAGACAGGGTCTCGCTATGCAGTTCAGGCTGACCTTGAGGTCATTTTGTAGCCCAGGCTGGCCTCAAACTCGCAAGGATCCTCCTGTCTCAGCCTCCCGAGTGCTGGGATTATAGGCGTGTGCCACCACGCCCCGCTCAAGACCCCTTTTTTTGAGAGAAAATTAAAAACTGCTCCCCGTGTTTGCCTTGTGCCCTCAGAGAGAATGGAAAATCCCTCTATTCTGTAAAGTATGTGCCTACTTCCTTCCTACCCTCCATAACAGAGACCAGAGATACTTTCCATGGAGCAGAACGTCTCAATGTCATGTCTCATGAAGACTCATCTGTCTCCAAAGCCAGTGCCTCAGAGCCATCTGATGCTTCAGAAGGTGGAGATAAGTGTAGAATGTTATCAAATGCTTACCTTAATAACTTTTTCTCTGAGGACTGTTAAGCAGAATGGTATCTTGGGAAAGACCACGTGAGTGGTTTCCTCAGTTGCTGCCTAATTCTTTATTGTCTCTTATGGGCAGGTTCATCATATCACCAATAAATTACACAGTGATATTATGCACAGCTAAGTTAGTTAGAAATATTACAGGCAGTCAGACAGTGCTAGGCCCTCGAAAGGAGTCAATACAGATACATTACAATGGTGGGTAGCGCACATTTGTTAAAGGCCAGACCTCAAGACAAAAGATAGAATGACTATATCTACATTCTAAATAGGTATCCATTACCTTGGGTAAGGGACCAAAACCTCCCTTTCAGGAAAAGTCCTGGTTCTTTTCCTGAACATTTGATATATGACTTGCTTCTCCATTTGATCTCCACTTAATCAATATTATTTAAGTGATTATACTCTAATCTTATAGGTTCACCATGGTTTTGTCCTACCTCATACCCACCTTGTGATTTCCCATTGTATCAATGTTACCTAAGCAACTATACTTACAATCTCATTAGTTGATTATATTTTTTTCCTACCTTAGACCCATCTCACCTCATAGTTTTGCTCTATAAAACTCCCTTGAGAAATGGGGTCCTCCACAACCCAGCCGGGACCCCTTCTGTCTCTCTTAGAGGAAAGCTTTCTTTCTCCCAATACATATTTTCTGCTTTTAACCTCTGTTGCTCTTACAATTCATTCTTCAGTTTTAGAGAGCATGAACTCAACTAGCAGGTGGGCGTTAGACTATTTCCCTTATATTATTTGGCAGTTAACTATCATCCCTTTATCAGTGATACTGGACAAAAAAATCCAAGTCAAATAAGACACCAACTCTAAGTAACATGAAGGCCTGCACCCTGCACAGGCCCTAAACTTCTGTGCCATCTTAAAAGGAAAGTTGTCCTAAAGCACTGGGTCTTCCCTCTTCACCAACAGCCCTCACTGGTAAATGCAGCCTTTATGTTTGTGATCAAGAATTTGCACATGGAAAAGACACACAACAGCAGTACAGTCTAAATGTGAAGACATCTTTGAAGAAATACTTCTAATTCTCAACACCTCTCTTCCATTTCTAAGAGGCTTTGTATTTTACCATGAAGTTTCCCTCTCAGACATAAAAGAAATGAAGAGCCCAGGAGAGAAGGGTGAACCATAGTCAGTCCACAACTCTGAATAAAATCTGTCCTAGAAAACAAAGGACTATCAGAAGAGGCATTTTATTTATTTTTTTTAATAAGAGGTTTTTAAGGAAACTTACCGTTTTGGTGATTTCATTTTCAACTTTTTGTACATCTGAATATTTTTCCAGGGTAGTATTAAGAAACTGTTTCTTCAATTTAAAATCTGTCACGAAGGTTCTAACTGAAAATGAAAATGTTACCTATTAAATCATGCAACAGAAAGACCCATACAGGGCTGTCGTGTTTGTGAATTTCTGGGCAGCCAGCTTTACCCTCCTGTTCAGGATGATCTCTGCATTTCTTTTTCCTTGAGGGAGACCGCCCCTGCCTCTCCTAGGTTCTTCTCTAGCACAGTGAGCAATCAACTGGACTGACCTGAAGAGTTACACTGAGTAACCCTTTGGGTGGGAGATTCAAGAAGCATTTTTTGTGTATGTGCAAGTACTGCTGAGAAGAGACACCTTCTGGGCATCCCTCTAATGGCCTCCTACCAAACAGATGCTCAATAAGGTTGTGAGAAGAACGATGGGCAGGTCTAAACAACATAATTCTGGAGGAAGGAGCGGGGATGTGGGGCCAGACACAAATTATTCATCAAGGCTCATCAGACTTTAGACTAAGGAACACTGTTGCTCTCTGAGGTCTTTATTTGACTTCAAAGGGGGGCTTTGGTTTCCTCTTCTCATTAGAGGCACCCTCATCCAACCCCCTTACTCTTGCTCAGAGGAAATGCCTGTTTTATCATTGATAAGAAACAGTTTCCAGAAGTTAGGTAACTTCTTGAGAAAGATCATCCCGCCCACAAGGGTCAAACTCAGCATTCAAACTCCTGTGTGGCCATTTTCAAAGTTCTTTCCCTACTATACCCTCTGCCCTGGAAGTGTGTGATGCTCTGAGAACAACCAGCAGGCTACAGAGAAAGGAGCCAAGCATTTACTGTGGGTCTATCCTCTGGGGTCTGCCACACGCTGTGATTATGAGCCACCTAATGAAAATAACCCATATTCAAGACACTGCTGGGCTCAGAAATTAAAGAAAACAGCCCCATTTTCAAGGCCCATTTCACTCATAAAATAAAATTCTAGTAAACACCAGTTTGTGCGGATTCGGCCTGAGGGGGATGGGACTTAGAAATGGGCAGACAACCAAAAATTGACAGCCTGCTTTATATCTGGCTCTTATCTTCCATTATATTAAATTCTTATCTTTCCCTCTGGACAGGAAAAAAAAAAAAAAAAAAAACCCAAAACACAGAAGCCCATGAAGCTGCTCTTTCATGGAAAGCTTGCATGCAGAATTAAGAAAAAGGGGCATAAATGAGCTAGGGAAAACATTTAACATCTTAGACTTAACTGTCTAAAGCGCTTAATCCTTATTTAACATCTTTTTGCTTGTTCTACAGTTCAGTGAAGCCAGCTGCTTAGGACTCTTTCTGAGCAGCAGGGAGCTCTTTGAAAACATTCTTGGCCAAATGAAAGCATTTCAGCATGCTCTAATTTGCATGTTCCTCTGATGTTTATGAACAATAAGGCTAAATGACTTGAAAAGGGAAAGATGACTGTTAACGCAACAGAACTGCTCTCCTCATCTGTGCTACCTGCGGGGCACTGCACACAGGCTTCAGAACAGTCACCCCTCTCCTTCATCTTCACCTCTCACACATCTAGGCTCATCCCCAGACTCTCCCTAGAGAACAGACATCGTGGACGTGGGTATACACAATGGGCACAAAGAAGCTTTCCGAATCTTGGCAGTCAATGTGGTCTCTGCTTTCAGCATGAATATGAAGCTGCATCACTGGCTTCCCCAAACCCGCACTTTTTCCAGGCAGGGATTTTTCCACAGACATTTATTTATACCCTCATGTCTGCAGCTACATCATCCGGCTTTAAGATGAACTTCTACTTCAAATTTAACTGGTGATTAACTGCTATGTTAATTAAACACAGCACTTACCTGCTATATTAGCTAAATAGTTGTTGGAAATATCCATAATTACTACTTTGTATCAGAGTAGTTTGTTTTCACAGTTTTAAATTTGGTCCAAGAGTTTGAGACTAATGTTAAATGAAACTTCCCATCTGGACAGCTCTTTACTATTTTCAAAGCTTGGTCCAATACAGTTTTTTTCTGATCATCACAATAATCTTGACTGGGAAGCAAAGCAGATTGTAATGTGATCTTACAGATGAGAAAACTGAGGCTCAGGGGCTATGTAGTATAGAAACTAGGCCTCTGAGTCCTGGGTAAGTGTACTTCAAAATAAAATTATTTCCACTTTCTTTCTTCTTAAACTAAAACTTCTTGGCTATGGTCATATAAGGTATGGCTAAGCAGAACAGGTTATCCAAATGTAAATAAATTCTAAGAACAAAAGGAATTCTTAGTTTGGAGTGACAGCTATATGTCTAGATTCTTTTTCTTTAAAAAAGTGTCCGGTTCTCATATTAAAACAATTTTCAAACTTTTCCTGTTACTTTAGTAGGGTACCAACCTTCTTAAAAAGTCCCTTTATCTCTGAAGGTAATAGGAATTCATGTAGATAACTTTCAAAGGACACAAATATTTAGTCTCTCAAAAATATTCACTGAGCACTTTTGTGTGCTAAGTATCCCACTGGGCAAGTTAAGATGATTCAAATACCTGTCATTTTATGTGCCAATTTCCTCTTTCCACTTAGAAACTCTGTATTTTTCTTTCTAATTTCTTTTAAAAAGTTTGGTATTAAACTGAGCATCCTACCAAGGGTCACACCCTGTATACATGAAGGATCTTACAGTTAATGCATTGTGTAATGGAAAGAACTATGGGCCGGAAACCGGGCCTCTCATCAACTGTTTACATAAACCTGGCCACTCAGAACCTTGTAAGGGTCTTAGTTTTTATTTGGTTTGTTTGCCTGCTTTTTAACCTATAAAATGGAGATTGTATTTAAAACCAAACAGCTTCATGAGCCTATCAAATCAGGAAATAAACTATAACAAATAGTGTGGTACAATTATAGGAGCAGCTTTGTCAAAATGTATCTGCCTGTAGATAAGATCATGAAGACCATTTTTTAAAACGAAAAGAATGTGTGAATGTGGTAAGACAATGAGAATGTTATTCTCTCTTTTCCATCTACAATTTTTTTTAGACTATGTAGTCAGAATATCCTTTTGATTTTTTTTCCCAACTAAAGGGTAGAATGGTTAAGCACGAATACACAGATGATATACACAAATGATAGCATGGTATATAGTCATTAAGATATTTGTATAATATTTTTAGTAACAGGAAAATGTTTAAGATATAAAATTAATAGAAATTTCATGAATTCAACTATGTAAAATATAATGCACATTAACAAATTACAAAGTAATATATTTCTGAATGTTAAAGTAATAGGCAATGTCTTGTACTTCTTTCTTAATTTCTTAAGATTATATCCTGAACAAATATTAATTTTGAATAGAAAGAAAAACAGTAAATGTTATTTTGTAAAATATATTGTGATTCAGAATAAATTCTAAGATAGACTAAATCTCTTACCCAAATTGCATATTCCTTTTTCCAAATGGTACCCAACAGGGCATCTACAGGTAAAAGATCCCTGAGTATTGTTGCATATGGCCTGACGTGGGCAGCGATTTAAGAGGCATTCATTCACATCTGCAAAAGAGGAAAAAAACAAGACCATGTGATTTTGGCAGACAGCAAAATCATAAATGAGTATAGCAGTACTCACTAAGAATCAAACGGCACTAGCTAAAGATAAGCAAGAGATCAACTACTCTTGAGGTTATAGATTGGTGTATAAACAACTGTAAACATAAGGCGTGTTTTGGATGTATAGAGACAACAGCAGATTTTGATGGAGGAGAGAATTAAGGATGTTTCAAATAACATCTGGGCTAACACTGGAAGGACTTCAAGAAACAGACTTGGGTGGGCAGTTCTAGGCACCAGCATAGTAAATGCCAAGGATAAGAATGTGAAGGGGTCTTCAAGGAACTATAGGTGGTCCAGTGTGGCAGAAGCATAGGGAGTCTGAGGAATGGGACCAGATCAGGAAGTTTATCAGCACTGCATTATGATACCTCACATTATTCTGCAGGTAACGCACACACATGTTAACTCTCAAGTAAGCATGGTATTAATTTAAAAGCTTATTGTTCTACATTTTGAATAACTGACACAATACCACAGACCACTGGACGTTACTTTCATTCTTACCCACACTGCAGTTGTCTCCTTGCCATGAAGGGGGGCATACACATCGATAGCCACGACTGGTGAGGTCCACAATACATTTACCATCATGAAGACACGGGTTCATGGCACAGCTGTCGACTAAAAAGACATATCAGAAATAACACAATCGCAAAGGCAATGTAAAGGTAGCTCTAGGTAAATATTTAATTCTTTCAGTTAATAGTTGATTCTTGTTTGTTTACTTGCCTTGAAAAGCCACACTACTAAAACAGAATGGGGTCCCAAGAGGTGCAGAAGACATGGGCAATGGGACTGGCTACCAACACCAGTCTGTATCCATATAGAGTGGCTAGATAACTGAATGCCTACATGCAAGAACTGGCTCAAATCAAACGGTGTTTACAGGTCACTCAGGTCAGCATGAATAATTATACTACCTTTACGATACTTAGAAAATTCTACTTGAGTCAATGCAAATTTAAAACACATGGGGGGTTCCCCCTCAACAGTTCATCCTTCCTGCTGCAAGATGCACCCTGTGTGTGTGTATGTGTGTGTATGTGCGTGCGTGCACTTACATATGCATGCCCTGTCGTTTATCAAAATCATAGTAACTTCTCTTCAAAAAAATCTCCAAATGTAGTTGTGTCTCTACCTATCATGCATCATTCACAAAATTATAAGCACTACAATGACCTCCTTCCTTACATATTGTAAAATAGGCCCTATCTGAGTTCACTGAAGCCCTATGACACAAAGTTGTGTCACTTAGACTCATCCCCCAAGGGCAATGACCACAAATCTATTTTACTCTATGTAATTGCAATATCACACTCTAGTTGTGTAATGCCTGCTTCATAAAAACTTCTGACACATGCTTAGAAAAGATGAATCTTACCATATAACTGTATCATCTGCAAGAAGAAATCAGTAAAAGAATGAGAAAAACAGGATAGAAGTCAAGAGTCTTCGCTCCAAGAGAATAACCTTAAAAACAAATGGGCCAAACCCCAAAATGGTGTTCTTATTCTTCACTGCTACTTTATGTATACCTAAAGTCACCTATGTAAGCTCAGCACCTAGTAATCAAACACCATGAATATATAACCAGTGAACATGCTCCTAATACTTAACAATCATAATTATAATAGCTATAGTTTGCTCCAAAGGAATCAACCCATTTGGTAATAGTATGTATATTGTCTTTGGAAATAAAGCCCATGGGCCTAAAGTAGGGCTCCCTAATTTCTCCCAAAGAAAAAACCAACTTTTATTTCCCAGAGGTGCTCAGATCCCTCCACTGGCACAAAGGGAGCACTACAGAGCTCTCCTAATAGTTATCAGGTACTTTATGCTGCACTACTAGGTTGACATAGCTGACTAGTTTCAACCACTAGTCAGGCTACTACTCTCTGCTCCAGTCACTACAAAGCATTTCTTCTTCCTGAAGATATCAGTCTCATCTCCCCTTCCCCAGTAGCACTTTTCTGGGGTCTGGAAAACCCAAAAGTGCACTGACATCAAATGATATATTACCCTATTTCTTCTAAACTTCCTTACATAACAAAGAATCATTTGGATGGCTTTATTTCCCTTGCACCACCACCAACAGGTTAAAGATAACCTATGTGCAATGTAAAGACAGCTAGTCATACACTGTAGGAAAGGTTAGTTTATCACCTTTTTATTTATATGTTCCCTGACTCCTATTTATCAACTAGCACCCTAATTTTAATGCCTTCAGGAGCTTGGGCTTCCCTGGGTCAAAAACTCTCTGCTACTGGTGACTGAGGAGCCAGCTGATGGACTCAAGCTCTGGGCTCAGTTCTGGGAGCAGGCAGCAACTCACTTCCTACTTCAGACAGGCCACTTAAAGCTTTTCTAAGACATGGTCTTGCTAAATTGCACAGGTTGGGCTTGAACTTAAAATCCTCCTGCTTCAGCCTCCTATCTGGAATTATAAACATGCAGCACCATGCTGGCTACCTAAAGTTTCTTCATTTCAGTTTCTCCACAATCCAATCCCACATGTCTGCCTGGCTCTGAGCTCAGAAGAGTTAGAGTCCTGCTTGACAAACTCTTGCAATTATAAGGCATTAAAAGCTACCACTGTGGAATATACTGATGTCAGATGTGGCCAATGTATCATCTCTTCTTTTTTTCAAAAACAATCAAGTAACTTGAGGAAATCTTGCTCCACTATGACCTTATTTTATGCTGTTTCAACAGGGTCACATTTTAGGTCACCAAACAGACACTTAAATAGTAGCCAGTTTCACACATTCTCACGAATCCCAAGCCTCCTGTAGCAATCAGTGCTGGACATGGCCCACCAGTCAATATTTGCTTGTGAGATGCATCTTACCTGGTGACAATGCCATTGGTGACTGTGTGCCACTCTGGGCAGTGAGGGTGGTAGATTTAGGAGTCAATGCTTCAGCAGTAGAAACTGTGGTTTTGGGGAAAGGTGATGTTCTGAAGAAAGGTGAAGCAAGGCTGTACTGTTCTGTAACGCCAAGCCTTGTGCTCAATTCTTTTGCTGATGTGGATGCGCTGGTTAGAGGGATCGATTGGGTTGTAGCATCTATATGTACTTGGTTCCTTTCTGTGGTAATACCATGTTCTGTTGAGATCTGTGGCACCAGAATTTCAGGATGGGTTGGCAAGAGCTGTTTTCCAGATGTAGTGAGTACAGCTCCAGGGCCAGTGATCAGAGGTTTTGTGCTTGACAGGGTACTGGGACTGATCATAGAAGGGTGAGAGGTCATCAGATTGGTGGTTGTCAGTGTTGGAGACATGTAGATTAAGCTGGTGCTCATGGCTGTAAGGGCTGGCTCAGTGGAAGATTCTGTTAAGGCTGAGGGCAAAGGGACCTCTGAAGGAGAGCTCTTTGTTATAGCTTTGGTGGACTCTGTGGGCAGAGACACCAGCCCTGGTGACTTTGATTCTGTAACTACTTCCTCTTGTTGTGGAGTGCTCTGGTTGTTAGGATCTGCTGTTTGACTACTGTGGCTCATTACTGTGGATGATGCCATTGTCAATGTCTGAACTGATGTCACAGGTGTCTCCCTTGTCCTGGATAGGACTGGAGTAGAAGACGACTGTGGTAAGGTTGTTTGTGAGACTGAAAGTGGAGTAGATGCCATCAAGGATACTGATAAAAATGATGGTAGGGAAGACAAAGTTGTGGACGCCTCAGAGGTAGACTTGAGCTGATGTGTGGAGGTCCCGGTTAGTGGTAAACTTGATGAGAACTGGAGGGATTGTGACACTGAGGGTGGAGGCAAAGGTGACCTTGAAGAAGATGAGTCACCAACAGATCCAGTATTGGCACCCAGAGGTACAAAAACGTTTGGTATTTTCATGGTGGATGTGTAGGATGGAACACTGGATGTACGTAGAACCAGTGACTCAGTAGAAGGCTGAACATATTTTCCATTGTAGGATGAAACATTACTTCTTTTACTCTGAACATGAGAAGAGGAAGAATAATCTGAATAGGAAGAGTTTGGGATCTTAATATAAGAAGTTGAGGTTTCACTGATGTCTGGGGATGAAATATTGTCTGTAATGGACAGTAATGCCCGCTCTCCTTTGGTGAAAGTAGATGAAACATAGGTGTGGTCTCTGAGGTCACTGGAAGTCCTCTGTTCAGTATCTGTGCCACTCACTTGACCACTAAGTCCAGTGACTATAAAGGAAAAAGCCAAAGTTAAGTCAAGTAAATAAACAAGAAATTTCTAAAACATACAGACTTTAGGTGTCTTATTCAAGAACTCAAGTGGGTGCAAGACTTTCTTTGGAGAGATGGTTTTCCAATGTTGAGCACTCTACATGAAGACAACATGGAAAGGCTAGAATAGTCAGTGTTCTGAGTAGATTTTCCTACGCGAGTACTGGCGGCAGCAGTGGAAGAGGTACTAACAGGGCCTAAAAATAAGGAATAGTTCCAAATTCCTTCCACAGTCTTTTTTGATGAAATCAAATTGTTATTTGAAAAGCTTTCAAGACCCCAAATAGAATAATTGTTATGCTTAAATGGAAAAAGGAAAACCCACCCAACTTTCCATTCTGTATAATGAGATATTTCTTTCCCAAGAGATTGGCCTTAACCACACAGTGACTGGTTTCCTTTATTATAAGCCTCCAGCAGACGTCATCCCATATTCCTCAGCCAAAAGTGTGCAGGGATTTGGGGAGGGGGTGTCCTGAGGTGGGAGAATCCAAAAATTCTCTTCATAAAGAGAACTCAGGAGGTACTTTCTGGGTTGCCAGCCAATTTAATCACCCTTGGGGCTGTGAATAAACTGAGAGATGAGCTGAGGGAATGTGGAAAAGTCGCTGCTGCGAAAGACACTCCACCTCCAAGGGCAGGCAAGGCAGCCGTTGACCGTGAAAACACGCCCATGTCGTCTGTCATGTTGCTGCGCTGAGCAGTGCCCTCAGTTTCCCTGGGCGCCGCCACAGGCCCGCCTGACTCCGCAGACGTCACGGCATCTGAGAAGCTGAGAGAGCGCAACGTGCGCTCCCCACTTCCGGTGAGCGTGGCCAAAGTGTGCGCACCGCGGGAGTGCGCCCCGGAAGTGCTCCCCTCAGCAGTGGAAGAAACGCCAGGCGCTGCGCTGTGTTCCTGGGCTGAAAGGAGAAGAGGTAGTGGTTACACGCAGGGCCCTAGATGGAGCCCCACATTTTGTGCTTTCTCAGAACCTTCATTGTTTTGAGAGGGGCTATGAATCAGCACCTCTGTTCAAGAGACTTGGATTTATGGAAAGGTTTATTACTCCAGAGAACAGGATAAATAGTGGCACCTCGGTTCTTTCCATGATTCTGGTCGCAAACCAAATTGGTTGTGAACCGAATCAAATTTCCTCATAAGGTCAACATCAAACCTGACCACTGAATTTAATTTTCGATTTCTGCCAGGTGATACATAATAGAAGTTATCGCAGGAAAATCGTTGGTGGCAAGGAGGAGTGGTGGTGGGGTAAGGACTAGCAACCATGTTGGGGCTCTGAATATTGGGAGGAGGCCTTAAAAGGAGGCACAGTCCTCCACCACCTGTTCTACAACATTAGTGCATAAGTGCACAGCTAAGACACAGCATGTGGTGGAGGTTAAAGGTGCGCTTAGTTTTTTGTTTTTAATTTTTAAAAATACACTTGTTTTGTTTTATTGATGGAGATGGAAGAGGGGGGTGACATTTAAGTAAACATCCCTTTCTTCTTTTGGGGGGTTTATGTTTTATGCTATAAACCTACAGAATCTTGGAACTATTTTAGATCATTACATTAGATTATCAAATAAACCCGTCTTTTCAGATATGATGAGAGAGATCCAATTCTTCTTGGCCTGAACTTCACAATCTGGCTCTATATGAAAAGATTTCTTTACTAGTTCTTTTTTCTGTTCCCATCCCAGATTATCCCTTGATACTCAGTGTTTTGATGGAAAATGGCTGTAAAGCTGAGCATTACATAAATTCATTTCAGAATAGATTTGAATTAACTGAGACAGGAATGAGCACGAGGACTGGACACCCAAAGGTCTACAGCGGCTTCAAGCCAGGAACTAGAGAGAGCTGTGACTAGAGGCCAACTAGAGGGCTCAGGAGACAGATGGCGATGCAACTAACGGAGGTTTAAGGGCAGTGTTCCTGGGCACAGTTTCTATGGGCAAGGAGAAAAAAGACTTGAATGGGAAGATTGTAAATACTCTATTAAATGAACTTTAGATAAACAAGCACAACAGGGATATAGGCTTAACAGAATGGAAAGCAATGACCTGAAACAGAGGGGCTAAATCTGAAGCTAGAAAAAGAAATGGACTGAGAAGTCAGCCTCGTTTGCATGACTGATTAACTTTAGGCAATTCAGAGGAAAAGATATAAAGCATTATACTAGCCCACAGTGTGATTATTTCAGGAACAAGCCTTCTCCTTATCTAGGTTTTCACAACTGAACTCCAAGATCTAATCACCTTTTCCACATAAACTATTACAGATTGTGTCTAGATGTTCCCCCCCCCCCAAAGCCTCATGTGGTCATGGGTGGGCCTTTTTCAGAAATAGTTGGATCTACTATGTGAGCTGGAATTAAGGATTTGTGATTACTAAATTAGTCCACTGGTTGGTTTGGCATAGTTCTGGGAGTGGATAATGGGAAGACCCTCCCTGAGTGTGCCCTTAGGACAAGCAGCCTGGATAAAATATAAAGGACAGGAAGAGGGCTGCTGTGGTTGCTTCTCACTTGCTGCTTAGTGCTTCTGCTGTTTTCTGTCTGCCATGAACTATTTTTCCACTGTGATGCTTTTCTGCCATGCCCGTCTTCCTGCAGCCAGCTGATTATGGGCTGAAACCACTACAAACTGTGAGCCAAAATAAACATTTCTCGAGGACTTCATCCACATGTTCCTGCTGCCGGTGTTGACAGTTGGGGAGAGGACACTAAGTGGTTGCAGGATCCCAATGCACTGGGAGGCTGCAGAGAACACCCCTCTGCTTTCTTAGACAAGAGGCATTGATAAAGCATACTTCCCTGATCCTAATTCAGTAGAGGGATAAACTATTCTTACAGATAAGTTTATTACTCAGTCAGCCCCAAATAGTAGAAAAAAGCTACAAAAAATGGCTTTTGCCCCAGATAGCTCACTTGAGATGTTAGTAAGAATTGCCTCCTCAGTATTCTATAGCTGTGAGGAGGAGGCGGCCAAGGAGAGAAAACAAAGAGACCGAGAAAAAACAGCTGCCTTTGTTGCAGCATTAAGAGAAACAGACCCTAAATCTGATTCTTGGGATCCCAGGAAGAACTTGTCAATTACATTCATCTTCTACCACTGTCAAAAGCCAGGCCACCTCAAGAGGGACTGCCCTAAGAAGCCCCCTGGGCCATGCCCTGACTGTAAAGGTGACCTCTAGAGGTTGGACTGCCCTCTGAAGTGAAAGCCCCAGAGCTCAGACCTCTCCTACCAGCTGGTCCAACAGGAATGAAGGGGCTCAAGGCATACTCTTCCTTCTCCCTCTGGCCAGACCGTTATCTTTGAGGAGGAGCCTTGTGTAATCATGACTGTAGAGGAAAAAGTAAACAGCCTATTGCTGGACACTGGTGCTAGTCTCTTGGTCCTTCTTTTCAATCCTGGCCTTACTTCCAACCATCACACCTCAGTGAAAGGAGTCACTGGTGAGGAGGTAATATGCTATTTTTCACAACCCTTAGGCTGTAACTACTTCTTAGATCTTTCTTCCATATCTTTGTGTTTTCCTGAGAAACCACTCTGAAGATGCCACCATGTATTACAGCAGCCATTGATAATTTCCTACCAATCTGTCTATAACTCTGTAATGTTTCTATTGTTCCTATGCTATTTCATAAATGGATATATGTTTATTACTATGTGTTTTCAACAACAACCATTGAGAATAGTCAATGATTATTTAATTGATCACTCATGTATAGCTCTATTTGTTTTCCCTAGAAACCACTTTGAAGAAACCAAAGTATAATACAACAACCACTGATAATTTCCTACCATTTTTGTCTGTAACTCACTATTATTGGTCTATTTTCCTGAGAAACTATCTTGAAGATACCAATAAGTAAAATAACAACCACTGATAATGTCCTACCACTTTGTCGTAATTCGGTAAATCCCCCTATTGCTATGTTATCCTTCTTTTACTCTTTTAAATACATTTAAAAAAAAAACAAAATAAACATTTATTCCTTTAACTTTGGGTGTCAGGTATTTTGTCTCAGCAACAAGAAAAAAGTGATTAAAACATGAACCACCTAAGTATTAACTATAGAGAGGAAAGGTCCTGAAGAAATGTAAAAGGGAAAGGCTTTGGAACCTAAGGTCATGGTTTACAAAACATAAAAATCCTGGAGCCCCACAGTGCTGATGGTGGAAAATGATTCCTTTTGCTTAAAATATAGATAATCTGTTTCTCATGAGTAGACATAAAAATATAAATATCCCACACCTATGTGTTTTATTTTTTCATTATCAGTATTTGCTTTTCCAGGTCACATGAGTAGTAATGAATTATAGTTTTCCTTATTAGTTAGTGGTAGGGAGATGGTGTTAAAAGCTTAAATAAGTGAAAGCCCAAGAGCTCAGACCTCTCCTACCTATTAAAAGCTTAAATAAGCTAATGTATTTTTGTTTAATCCCAGCACTCAGGAAGATGAGGCAGGAGGAGCCCATCTGAGGCCAGCCTGGACTACAAAGTGAATTCAAGACCAACCTGGTGAAACCCTATCTCAAGTCAAAGGACAAGCTTTCTGGGCCAAGTGTAGTGGAACACACCTGTTAATTCTAGCTATGTAGGAGGCTAAGATTGGAAGATTACAAGTTCAAGCTAGTGTGGGCAACCTAATAAGACCTTGTCTCATAAATAAATAAGTAACTGGGTTAAATCTCCAGTATCACAAAAAGAGACAAGTTTTCTGAAATTAATAAATTTCATCCCTGGTTATTTAGAGCATTCATTAAAAGATACCTGCCTCTACACCAACAGCTTTGACATATAATTCACATTCCATACAACGTGCATGGAAGATTAAAGATTTAATCAAGATTAAAACCTTTGCTGGGCATGGAAGATTTAATCAAGATTAAAACCTTTGCTGGGCATGTAGTTCAGCAGCACAAGTGCCTGGCAAGTATAAAGTCCTGAGTTCAATTCCCAGTACCAAAAAATAAAAAAAAATAAAAATTAAAGCCTTTCATATTGATGGCATCAAAAAGCAAAAGTACAACCCATAGAACAGAAGAAAGTGCCTACAAATTATATATCTGGTAAGGGACTAGTATCTAGACTATATAAAGAACTCATACACTCAATAATAAAGACAACCCAATATAAAATAATCAAAAGATGTGAATAGACATATTCAAAGAAGGTATACAAATGGCCATAAGCACATGAAAAGATGTTTGATCTCATTAGTCAGCTCAGAGGTGCAAATCAAAATCACAAGATACTTTTCAATCCCACAAGAATGGCTATAATAAAAAAAAAGGTGGACAAGTACAAGAGTTGGTGAAGCTATGGAGACACTGGAACCTTTGTACATTGATGGTAGGATATAAAATGGTACAGCCACCTTGGAAAACATCTTGGCAGTTCCTCAAAACTTAAAAAACGGTGCTACCACATAACCTGGCAATTCCAAGAGAACATTACATCCGCATAGAAACTTGTACCTGAATGTTCGAAGTAGCATTATTCATAATAGCTAAAAAGGTGAGAAAAACAAACATCTATCAACTGATGAATAGATGTATGAAATATGGTAGATCTTTACTGGAATATTACTCAACTATAAAAAGGAATAAGGTAGCTCAGCGCACAAGCACCTGCCTGCCAAGTGCAAAGTCCTGAGTTCGATTCTCAGTACCAAAAAAAACAAAACAAAAACACAGATGAATCTTGAAATTGTTACACAAAATGAAAGACACAAAAGGCCATAAATGATTCCATTTATGGGAAATGTCTAGAATAGGCAAATCCACAGAAATAGAAAGTAAACCAAGTGGTTGCCAGGAAGGAGGACAGAATAGGAAGTGACTGCTGTTGAGTACGGAGTTTCTTGGAGGTGTGATGAATTAGGTAATAGTGATGGCTACACAACTTGGCAACTATACTAAAAATCACTGAACTATACACTTTAAGTGGGTACATTGTATGGAAGGTGAATTATATGTCAAAGCTGTTGGTATGGAGGCAGGTATCTTTTGATGAATGCCCTAAATAACCGGGGATGGATAGTGGCTCCTGAGAAGGTGATGTCTTCACCTTCCAGAAGCTCTGTGATGAGGCAGATATGGAGATTTGGGGTGGCCTATAGGATTAGGAGAACATCAACACAGAAGTCCTTGAGTTGTGTGTGAGAAGAGAATGCTCTATCAACAGCTTATCAGACATGTACTAGAAAAAATGCTGGGATACACAAGTATCTGCATCAACTAGGTAGAAGAATGGCCTGGGAATGATAAAACCAGAGGAGCCTAAGTTTTTGTTTCATCAGCGCCTGCCTTAGTATGCCACAAAAGATCATAAGCACGACAAGTCCCTCTCTTCTCCCTGCGGTACACTTCTGTGAAGGGAAAGCTTACTTGAATGTTTCCCACGTTGTGCTACGGACTCCAGCCTTTGTGAGGAAGATGTAGACAAAGACTCCAAGTAACTGTTCTCATCCAGTGTTGTGTTACCTCCTGCGGACTGTTGAGCAGAGTCTGAGAACTGTGTCAGACCTTCATCATATGAAGCAGAACTTCCTGTCACATCTGCAGATGTCTTGCTGTTGGTCAAGAGCCAGTGTGCTGTGCTCTCTCCACCTCTGACGGAGGGGACTGACTTAGACACAGTCTCAGTGAGAGGCATGGAACTTTTATTTCCTGCTTCTAAGGTGCTAGTAAGCTGATGGCTTCCAAAGGCTATAAAATAGTATAGACAAAAATTCCATTACATAGATATGAAAATGATCTCTCAACAACTAAGAAATGATTCCTTGCTAAGGAAAATTTCCTTTTCTAAGTAATCGTGTATAGAACTTATTATATGGATCACCTGACATGCATTGACATATTCTAAATAACTATTTTAGAACTCTTGAGCATTAACAAGATAGCAATACTAAAAGTTGGTAAACAGGACTTTTGAAAAGCATGTACAAATAGCACAGTAACTTAGAAGCTTGAATGTTTTATTCTCTTGCCCATGAAAAGTAGTTGAAGGGAATACGTTATCACGTTCAACAAATAAGTGCAAAAAGGTAGTGTACAGATCACTTTTCTAAAACATTTGTAGTATTAATAAAGATTCTAATTCTGAAGCATAGCTTAAAAAAAATCATCTATAGTAACTAAACCAAACCATGAATTTGGGAACTATGTTTGTATCTACACATTTATTTGTAAAGATGATCTATATACAAAATCACTGAAGGTAGTTGTAAAGTGCAGGCCAACTACTTTGAAGATAATTGTGTACAGTGAAAAGAACATGCCTGCATTACTTAAACCCTCTGAGGCTTCATTTCCTCACAAAGCAGGAGGGATGACACATGTCCAGTTAACTTCACTACGCTCTTACAAGGATGAAAATTAATGCAATAATGTGACTTATCAAATAAAGGAACTGTTAGCATCAAAGAGATCACTTCTAAGATTCCAAATGGTCTTGCTGAGGACTCTTAAGAAAATTCAACTACTTAAAAATGTCCCAAGTAAAGATAGGATACTTACTTGGGGCATCATTTTGCTGATGTAAAGACGTAAGATCAAATTCATTTTCTGTGGATTGCTCAATTAATTCTTCATTTGCTGGATTCTTGGTTACGCTCTTGTTTCTTTGTAGTACTACAGCCGACGGTGAAGAGTGGACTGTGGCAGAAGTCATGGAGATTTTGGAGTCCTCAGGAAAACCCACCATCTTGTTTATAGGCCTCAGACTGACAGTTAAAGACTGGTGCTCCCTTGGGGCACCATCAGTGAATGTAGTAGCAACATCCATACTCTTGGTCTGGCTGACTGATGGGCTTTGGAAAACACTGGATTGAAGCTCCTTTACACTTCCAGGAGCTAAAACAGAAGAAAATATGCTTCAAAAGTACTCAGAGGGTTAAGAAAATCAAGGATAAATCTAGATACAAACAATGTTTATTACATTTTGGTATACAAATTTAAATAAGGTGTTTTAAACATTTGTATATCTTTGCACACACACACACACACACATATGCAGCCAGGGCACAATCTTTCACTCTCCTTATTAGCTCTAATTCTCACAGAGCTGAGTGGCAAAGCAGCAAGGTCCCTCATCAGCATAAGGGAAGGCTTTGTGTATAAGCTAAAAGGAATGCAGGAGAAAGCAAGACAAATGTACTCTTCACTTTGGTTTTTATAGAAGAAGATGAAAACCTCTTCTACTCGACTTCCTGTTATATCTTAAGCAGGACAGGCCATTGTGATAAGGCATGTGTTGTTTTATTTTAGCTGTGCAACCCTTTTGTTCATGCTATTATAGATTATAATCCAGTCCATAAAGGTCAGGCCACTACAGGGACTCCAATCCCCTGGTCACCACTGAGAAGGCCTACGGTTCTGCAAAACATAGCGCACTGTTGGTCTAGGGCAAAATTTTCCAGTCTTATCACCATGAAGGGCTCTTTACGTTTCTCCAATGCATGGCCACCATAAGTCTTATGTTTTGGAAGATTATTAATCAAATTGCATTCATTAAGTAACAGAACTTTGCCAGGCATGGTGGCGCATGCCTGTCATAGCAGCACTCAGGAGGCTAGGGCGAGTTGTGAGTTTGAGACCAGCCTGGGCTACAAAGTGAGCTCAAGGCCAGCCTGAACTGCGTAGTGAGACCCTGTCTCAAAGCGATGAAAAAAAATTAACGGAACTTCTAACCACAAGGTACTTATCACTCTATAAATTTTATTTAAGTCAACTCAAAAGTAGACAGGCTTCATTATTATAGTTACTGAGTCTCATTAAATTTTAGGGATCAGTTCTCACCAACATACTATTCCTAGGGAGTCCCCTAGGAGATCAGGAACTCCATACTGGGAACAGTTTTTCTGATCAGCGGGTAGCAGTCATTGGACAACTGTCAAAAAACTCATGAACTGAATTATATGGTCAAAATATGTATAGTCTGCTTCCACATGATTGACTTGCAGGTGGTTCCCTTCTACAAAGACCGTTCCAAAGGGAATTCTGAAAGCCAACCTCCAAAAGGGTACATTAAAATGCTAATTCCAAGGGACTGGAGGTGTAGCTGGGTGGTAGAACATTTGCTTAGCATATGTGAGGCCCTGGATTCAGTACACAGCACTGAAAAAGAAATCCTCATTCCAAACAGGAATAAAGTGCAGAAAAGCTTGATGAGTGGGAAAGAAGATGGCAGGCAAGAAGAGAGTGCCTTTTGAAAAAGCTAAAAATAATGAAAGTTTGCTAAATTGATATAATGAAAGGCTTTGGGTAGTTAATTATGACACAGAAAAGGGAAAAGGAAGTTGTCATTATAAATAGTTCCTTGAAGAGCAGTTTTGCATGCAGTTGTGACCAAAAGCATAAATAAATTTTAGGTATAGTTGGAGAGAAAGAAAGAGCACAGAAAATAAAGGGCTCCTCTTATTCTTGTATAAACTCACAGTCCCTAGCCAGGAATGGCTGCACTCACCCACCCACAATGCACTCTGAGAAGCTGAGGCAGGATAGCGACTTCAGGTCCAGTCTGGGCAACTCAGTGATTTAGCTAGACTTCGTCTCAAAATAAAAAATTTTTAAAAGGGCCTGGATATATAGCTCACTGCAAAGGATCTGGATTCTGTCCCCAGTACCACTAAAGACAAACAATAACAACAACAAAACCCATAGCCCCAGCTATCTCTGAAGCAGCCTGCAGTTCTAATTGTTGGGCCCTAATGAAGACAAAATGAAGATGCATGGAATCTATACAAATAGTAACTGAAATAAAAGGAACAGGAAGATTGAGACATAGAAATAGAGTTGCAGCTTACCCAAACCCAACGCTACCTACTTGAAAATAAAAGGTAAACAAAAAGCACTTCAGTATAAAAAAGAAAAGCATAAATATGCTTCAAAATGGTATGGGGAATTGAACCCAGGGCCTTTGCACTGAGCTACATCCCCAGCCCTTTTTATTTTTTATTTTGAGACACGGTCTCACTAACTTGCCCACGCTGGACTCAAACTTGCAATCCTCTCCCTTCAGTTTTCCAGAGTGCTACCAGTTTGGATGCCTGGCTTTTATTCCTAGTAAATGGCATTATTTTATCCATTCAGTGTTCCCATTGAAACACAGTGGTGATTATGCTGGATTCAGCCTGGACATCCCAGGCATGTCCATTTTGGTGGTTTTGACAAGTGGCCACAAATATAAACCACAAAAGCGAAGTCACAAATGCTAAATCGCAAAAGGAAAATGGCTCGGTTTTCCCTGACCTACATTATCATAAAAAGCCACCTTATTTGGCCAATATGATGTACCAAGCATTGTGCTAAGTATTTTATATATTAGTTGCATTTAATCCTCACAGTAAAGAAAGAAAATGTACGTAAATACTGCTGAGGGGCTAGTGCCTCATAATAAAAAAAGGAAACACTTGGTTAAACTAATCTATAATCACTACTAATGTTACCAAATAAGCACTTGCTAAATAAATCTAGGAGAAACTTACCACATTGTAAATCAGGTGATGAGCATTATTATTACCTAACAATTGCCCTTCCAGGCTCACTTCTACCCTTGAAGCAGCCATTCAAATACCGGAAAGCAATCCACTGAGGGCCAAGCCAAGTTCCTAGTCTTTGTAACAGAAGATGGAAAGAATGCACACTCCTTTAGTAAAAGTATGTGAAAGTATGTGTGTCATTCTCCAATCACAATGCAAAATATTAGAGCTTCAGGCATGCATCAGAGTGCTTAACCTTTACTTGACTGCTAGCTATCTAGACTCACCCAAAGTATAGCTGAAGCAGCTGATATTTGAGAAAGATAGACTGAATCTAAAATCTGCTGAGTTATTTATGTCCTCTCCCTTTACAAAGTGAAATCACCACAAAGCAATTTACCTGGACCACATTACCTATGCTACCCACAGAAATACTTTTATAAGTTCAGGTCCATTACTACACCTTCAGCTCCTATTGAAAATCTATAGCAAATATCATCTTTTAAAGAACACCAGCACCATTTCCACAAAATAGTAAGTGAAAGCATTTTCTATTATGGTCCTCAACATTTCTTATATAAATAATTCCTTTTAGAATTTACTGGTCCCTAAACATTTATGGCTATGGATTGAATTTATGCTTTATCTGAGCAATCACTGGCCCCACCCAGCTTCCTTTTGTGCCCTGCCTTTCAGGAAGCTTATACTAAATTTAGTACTCAATTGTAGCCACCTCACACAATTCAACACACACATCTCTTTCCGCCTTCGAAAGAGCTCCCCCGCCTTACTGTGTTAACTTTTCCCCCAGTGATCAAGCAGTACATGACCACTGCAGAAAATATGCAAAGTATAGAAAGATATAAAGCAGCAATGAATGCAAGGCAGCAGGAAAGTAATTTCAAATGGCTTTCACTATCTTTTAAATCATCGAATTCTGCTGCCTGGGCCTATGCTGCCTTAATATCGTAAAGCATACAATTTATTTTCAGGAGCAAATAACTCCTGGGTATCCCAGCCTCGGAAGAGGTGCTGCGCATGCGTTTCTGTGTAGAGGGAGGTAGTAAAGGAAGCCCAGACTACAAAGACTGTGTGGAATCCCACATGCTGAAACTAGCAGGGCTTCTTCAGCTCATCAGGTCTGAGCCCTTCATGTTTTCAATGAGAAGCCCCATCCTCACTGTGCCAGGCTTCCAGCTCACATCCTTGTGCCCACCTAGGGAGGAGCATCACTAATCTGAGGGGCCTGCATGCTGGGCTTTTTACTAGAGGATGGAGTGGTGCAAGCTTCTGTCACACTCCTTTGCCTTTTTTTTTTTTGGTAGAGCTGCCCAGTCAGGCCAGGACCACTCCAGATCTGTCTTGACAGGTCCTGCAGGCTCTTCCTTTGCAGTCTTGCCCAGTTGCTTGCAGCTTCTTTATCATGCAGTCAGAAAGGGAGAATAAACTCTCAAGATTTCCATTCAGGGGAGCAGGGAGGTATATACACCTCTTTTTGGTGGGTTGGCAGGTGCTAGACAAGCCACAAAAATAAATATGAACTTGTTTTCTCTCTGGCTTCATAGGTCCTCCACCCCAAAGCCCTCTTCTGCATCTAAGAGGATGGTCAGACTTTATATAAAACAAAACACCTAGTTCACTAAGGAAGAGAAATTCTCAGTAAAAGACTATGGGAATATGAAAGAGTGGGACTCTCCAAAAATTAGAACCTTAAGGTTCTAGAAGAACAAATACTCAAAGAATTTAAGGGCCAGTTTTTGTTGCTGTTTTGAAAAAATTACAGGTGAATAGAGATTGAGTCTAGTAAAGTTAAAAACATGGGCTGATTTTCAAATATATCAATTTAAATTATAAATATTTAAATGACCCTGATCAAAATAACTGTACAGTTTCCTAGAAAAGGCTTCCTTTCCACCATTTAGTAAAGTCGGACATAAATCACTGAACCACAGAACTTTGGAGCTACAAAGAATCTTTATCCAATCCAACCAGTGATTATGAATAATCTTAAAAAGCAGTCCCCAAAAAACATGAATCATAAAAGATATCTGTACCCAGTCAGCAGGAAACTATATACCAAGTGTATGGAACAGGAGCTGGCTGCTTTAAATAGGCATTACAGTTCAGCTTTTGCTTTGATGACATAAACCCAAACTCCTACTCTTGCAAAGTATTTCCAAAAACCTCTCACCTACGAGAAGTTTAAAATTGTAATTTCTAAAGCAACCTAACTTCAATTTTCTAAGAATGCTTCCAACCCTCTGTCCTGCGCCCTATGGCCCAAGGATGAAAAGGAGCAGCAGAGACTCTGGGTAACACTGAGGAGGGGCAGTTTCCAGCATTCTCTTTGACCCATGACAGGATGTTCCCTGTGCAGGGATTTGGGTACGTGCTATTTCCCATTTCTTATGGACTACTTTGTTCAGAGGCAGTGCAGGACCTAAAATAACAGAGCCAGCTATTGTCCTCAAGGGGAGTATAGTCTCCATGCAGATAGGTAGGCACTGGGTGACTTGGTACCACAAGATGTTTAGCACAGAAGACCAGAGGGATGAAGAAAGGCTCATGGGTTAGGACTTAACTGATAAGTAGGAAGTGGAATGGCAGAGAGAGGAGAGTATTCCACAGCCAGTGACTAACACCATGCCCTGCAAACACCTCCACTTTTCTTTGCCATTGAAGGATGTATTTTTGCAAGAATTAAGACATAAATGATACACTGCTCACCATTTCACAAAAGCACTTTGTTATGGTTTATAACTAGATATCTCCCCAAAGCTTCATGCACTCATAGGTGAGGCTTTGGGAAGTGACTGGATCATGGGTGTGTGGTACTGAATTGGTCCGCTGATGGATTTAGCATAGTTCTGGGTGTGGGTGATGGACTTACTGAAGAGGGAAGACCAACCCTGGGTATGGGTGGCACCAACCAAGAGCCATGTAGCCTGGATGGAATCAAAGGAAAAGGAGGGGAAAGTCATGCCACTTTCTGCCTGCCACATCATGAACTATTTCTCCTCTGCCCCTCTGTTGTGCCATCCTACCTTGGAGCCAGCTGATTATGGACTGAAACCTCTACAAACTGTGAGCTAAATAAACCTTTTCCCCTTTAACTTGTGGGTGTTGGGCATTGTGCCCCAAACGAGAAAGTAACTAATATACACCCTAACCCATGGCCTCTTCTGCAAGAATATGTGCCCTTTAACACTTAAGTCCTTGTGTGTTAGTGGATAAAGAAGGGAGAGGGAGGGGAGGCAGGCCAACTATTACCTTTTTCCTTATACGGTCAAAGAAAACATATTTTAAACATGTACCTCAATACTGAGATAAACTGTGTATGTTGTACTTCTAGCCCAAATACTTGGCAGTAGAGGAATGGCATTTTTGGCTGTCTTTTTCATCTTAGGCCCTACTACAGGTATTTAATGAGTTATGTACACACACCTACTTACGGCTGATTTGAATGACTTTGGAGGGATGAGCTAGGGACAGGATTACTCACATGAAGAATGGTCTGAAGAAGAAGAATAAGCTGGTGTCCTGGAGAAATGAAACAATGAGAGCTGTGGTCCTGAGGAATTTCTTTTCACAGACAGCATGGTTGCTTCTCCTGGCTCCAAAGCAGGAAGGGAGGACTGGCTCAAAACCGAGGTGCCAGACACTTGGGTGTGCGCAGTCACTTCTTCTGGGAGGCCCTTCACCCTCTCCAGGAAGCCCTGGGCTGTTCCATTCTCCGTGTGAGAAGAGGCAGTTCTTTTTTCTGACTCAGAACTGTTGGATGGCAAATGAAGCCTTTCTAAGGCTGAACAAGTAAAACAACAACAATTAAAATTCCACCAGCAGACTTCTAAATGTCTGAATAATCTTTTAGTGGGTCAAGTCTGACTTACAAAAGATAAATAGGTATGAAAAGAAATTAGGAGCAGTTGTTCTCTGAAAAATGAACTCCTGAACAAGAGACCATGAACCACGACAAAGATTGTTTCTTGAACTCACAAAAAGTTTGTTTTGGGAGCAAAATTATCAACAGTGGGGCAGACTGAAGCCAAATATCTGACAGTATGGACTTAAGAGATCAGTGCTAGATCATCATAGTTCATCACCTCCCGTATTCCACAAAGATGGCTCCAAAATTTACTGGAATTCAGCATAAACAGAATTTCCAATATGTGGATGACCAAAAGAACCGGGCAGTGTCATGCCACCACTCATAAATGGGACACAAAATACCTTCATACATTTTCTTTACAGACTTTAGTGCCCCCAGTCAAACCTCCTGTCACTAGGGGGAATGAATCACTTTTGAGACATTCATCCTCTACTTTGAGGTCCTCACAAACTTTCCTTTGTTGAGAGTCTTTAAGAAATCCCCTTCCTCTGTACTGTGGCCAATAGGTCAATACCTGGTGTCTAGATTTGTGCCTACCTGGGTGGCTCCCCTCAGTCTAGGTTCCCCCATCTCTCCAACCCCATCATACATTTTGGATCTGCTTGTCCTCCTCAGGTTTGCTTTAACAGTTTTATTCCACTGCGTAAAGCCCTTTGGTGACTTTTCTCACCACACTAAGTATAAACTGGTTTGCAAAGTGCTCCACAGTTGTCCCTAACCTATCCACACAACTATCCTACTCTCTGAACAACCTACACTCCCCCCGATGGATGATGCTGGTCCTGCTACCCCACAAAGAGGCCCAAATTGCTTCTCCTTTGCCTCTATTCACACTGGGCATCTCACTCCTCAGCCACCCCTCCCACTTGAAGTATTCAGATTTAGGCTCAGATCTTAGCCCTGAAACATGTTAATTCTTTGACCTTCACATACTGGGTTAACTTCTCTGAGCTTCAGTTTTCAAATTCCTAAAATGAGGGTAACAGATGGTTCTGACCTTTTATAAGGACTGAGAAAACAGATATGTTGGAATGTAGTGAGTACCTAATAACTGCTACTTCTTTCTCAATTAAGTCTTACCATCAAGCCCAGCCCCTTCTTAAAATCTTTTGCTAAAAATAGCAAACCTCAAAGCTGTGTAGTCTGGAGCAAGGACAACTATTTGAAGCACATCAACACAAAACCACATTAATACAAACAACACAAACTAAGACATCTTTCCCAGGCATACATCCTACCAGACCTGTGCTTCTGAGACTGGAACCCACGGCAGGATCCCTGGGGGAGGGACGAAGCTTGGATTCAGACTGGCTATGGGGTGTAGATGCCAGAGGACTGACCAGGCTGCTTGACAAATCTGCACCCTTCTCTGATCTGTCCTTATGAGCATCTCACAGATCGGGCATACGTCACAAATCTGAACCACCCCATCCCAGGACCTCTGGCTGGGCACAGTTAATTGAGGTTGGGAGAGGGAAGGATGAGGCAGAAAGGCTGTTTTCCAAGACTGGACAAACATGAGTAAAATAAGCATCAGCAGCTAAGGCATCCTCACAAACTCACATAAGGTGCTGTCCTGGGAAGTCAGCAGTCTTGCGCTCTCGGGTGAGTGTCCAGCAGGGGAAATAGTGAAGTCTGTTCTACTTGAAGACTCCTTCCTCCCTTCAGCAGTTAGGAGAGTAAGGTTTCCTGGAGCTTCCGAAGAAGTGCGGCTCATTTGGGAGGTCTGAACCGAAGTACCCTCTTTTGAACCCACTGTTGAAAAGTCCTCTGGACTCTGATAAAAGACAATGTCTTCCATGTGGGGCTCAGTATTACTTTCTGGCCAGTGGTTCCTTACAGCAGCTGAAGCAAGAAAACACATCAGTGAGAACTTGCTGGTTTCTGAAAAGCAAAATAAAGCTTCAGAAAAGACAGCATCACCAGACCATTTGAAGTCACTGCTAACTACATGGCTCCTTAGAGATCCGGTTTTTGTTTTCCCTATTTGGGAGTATTTCTCTTTCTGCTTAGGATCGGGGAGTGGCAGGGAATGTGGGCACCACGGAAAAACCTCTATGGGGATGAATGGTGTCACCTCCGTCGGTAGGGGTGAGGCAACTGTGACAAATCATCTGACAAGAAGAGGCTGCAAGCAGCGAGAACTACAGTTTGTATAATTATCACACGTGTGCAAACGCAAGCACACACACAGCCATGCACATGTGTATACACACAGAATAAATTATCTTTTAGATTAATGCTGCCCAAAAGATAAAGTGAGCAACAACTATAATCCATGTAAGTAACCTTTGCAGCCACATTTTAAAAATAAGGTGAAATTAATTTTTATCACTTCACTGTTTGCCCCCCCATCACTTGGCAGCACATTTAAGTACTCACTATCCTGAAGGTCACCTGGGCAGGTCTCATGGCAACCAGCTGACCTGCCCTTTTTTTTGGTCTTTTTGAGACAGGATCTTGCTATGCAGTTCAGGCTGTCCTTGAACTCACTTTGTAACCCAGGCTGGTCTCGAACTCACAGCAATCCTCCTGCCTCAGTCTCCCAAGTACTGGGATTACAGGTGTGTGCCACCACACTTGGCCAACCAGTTGATTCTTGTATTGAATAAACTTGATAAAGTTGTTGTTTTTATATTTCCTAATATAAAAATTGATAAAAATGCTATTTTTGGTCATCCTATATTTAAATAACTGGACTGGTAAGTGGTATTTTGTATTTCATTCAACCTATCTAATATCATTTCAATATATACTTGATATAAGAATTATCAACATATTTTATTCTTTTTTTGGTATTACACCTTTAAAATCTAGTGAATGTTTTACAAGCCACATCTCAAAAGCTCAGTCACCAGGTCGCTGGCTCACTTTCCTAAACAGTGTGGACCAGAAGCATTGGCTCACTTATTTGGGGTGGGGTGGGTGGTGACTACAAAAACTTCCATAAGATTATAAAAACTTCTGGTAAACTTTCCTAAGGGAATTATTTCCTCCCCATGCCCCTTGAGATTTACTGGATTTCTGCCTCCAATTCTGTTTCCTGGAGGTGATAATTAGCAGAGGTTTCCTGGCAGGGGAGGGAAGTTGCCCAGGCATCTGGGCTTCTCTGAAGCCAGCCCCAGATAGACAAGACCAACACTCAGATAGAAATGAGATACAGAAGGCCATTTCCAGGGGCAGCCACAAAGTCTGTAGGTTGAACTTGAGGCCTAGGGCTTATGGGCAGCAGTGACCTGCAAAGGGCATGCTCCCTTTGCTCTGCCTATCTGAGCTCCAGGCTGGCCTCCCAGAGGAGATAGCAGGATATAAGGATGCTTTCTCTATCTTCTTCGTTAACTGGGCAAACAGAGAAAAATTATTCCCCAAGGAAGCCAGAACAAAGTGAACGCGTGTGGCAGAAGGGACTCAGATCCACTCCCCTAAGCTGGAAGCCATGAGCAAAGGGAAGGTTATAAACTTAGCTCTGCTATAGCTTAAGACAAGTGAGACACAGCCACTGGGTGTTGTGGCAGGCTGTGAAGGACGAAGCTATGTCCCCTTCTCAGGGAACAGGCATGGAAGTCCAGACCCTGTTCTGCTCAAGGAATTCCACGGCAGTGTCCAGGAGGACAGGAATGGCCACATGCAGACAGGACGTGGCTCACACGGAACCATGCTCTTTCCTGAGTGTAGCCCGAAGAGGTCAGAAAGGGAAAATGTACACTGTAAGCAAAGTTAAAAGCCTGACAGTAGTCCTACACTGTCCTCAATAATGCTGCCACTATCAACAACTAAAAAATGCTGAATAAAATAGTTTTAAAAAATACTTCTAAATATGTTGCTGAGGTATCAAGAAAATAAATCATCAAATCTTCTGTGGCCAAAAGTGAACCAAGACTAGGAGTACAGAGAGGTGAGCAAAGACTGAAGCTGGCACCTGCTCGGTGTCTGTGACCTTGAACTTATTCTGCTGCTGTCAGGGAGGCAGGAGATGGGAGAGCAACCCCCAAGGAGGAGGGGTCTAAAAGGAAAGTACCGTGTAAAGCAGGGGACCCAAAGGACTATGCCGTGGCTGTAAGACAGTGACTGTAAGGCAGATAGAAACAAACCTGCCTTGTGGAGGGGACAGCAAGGAAACCTGGCCCTTCAATCATGGTTTAAGGTGAAAAAAATTAAATCTCAAGATTTATAACTGCTCTGGGTGTGGTGGCATGGGTGTAATCTCAGCACTTGGAAGGCTGAGGCAGGAAGATCGCTGAGAGTTTGAGGGGATACACCATGAATTCGGGCTCGGCTTGAACTATATGGCAAAACCCTGTCTTTAAAAGACAAAACAAAATAAACTCATGCCCTTCCACCTGAATGTTCCATCTTGAAGCCAGCTGGTCATGGACTGAAACGGTGGGCAAATTAAACCTCTCCTCCTTTAAGTTGTGAGTGTCTCAGTGATGAGAAAGCTGACTAACATACACATGCAAAAAAGACAATGGCTAAGAATTTTCTAGAAGCAATAAAAAGCACAAGAATCCTCAAAGGAAGTCCAACAAAATGTTTTATGGGTTTAAAAAAAAATTTTTTTGGTACCGGGAATTGAACTCAGGACCTTGCGCATGCTAGGCAGATGCCTGTACCAATGAGCTATATCCCCGGCCCTCCATCAAAATGTTAAGAGGCTAAATAGAAAAGAAATCTACATTCATATCATAGTGAGACTGTAGGAAACCACAGAATAACTGTAAATCTTAAAACCAAAGAAAACCATGCCAAATTACCTATACAAGACAGCAGTTGTGCTAACAGTTGATTTTTCAACAGCAATCATGAAAGCTAAAAGTGCATAAATGTATTCAGTATGGTAAAAAGGAGAATAAAACTAGAATTGTATTTTCAGCAAAACTATCTTTCAAAATACCTCAAGATTATCAAGTAAAAACATTTTCACTCAAAACTGAGCTTATCAGCAGCCACTTTCACTACGGGAAATTATAAAGGATGGATTTCAGGAAGAAGAAAAACAATCCTAGATGACAGGTATCAGATGTAAGAAGATATAATGAGCAAAGAAAGTGGCAGATATTTGCATAAATCTATGTGATGGATTCATAAATACTGAACTTATTAAAAATAATTTCTCATTAGTGGGATTAATAAAACAAGATGGATGGCAATCTTCAGGGAGATGATCCAAATGGTGTGCATGTAGGACAACCAGGATAACTTGGAGTTGTGGGGAAAATGCATAAGGTACTCAAGCTGACCCTAAAGAAAAGAACATATCACTTCTACACTAGCAGAGCTTGGAATGACATAAAATTTCCATAGAGCAAAATTAATGAATACTGCTCAAAACCAAAAAAATCAATACATAGTAATATAAACACATTATTTAGAGATATGGTCAAAATTACTAAATAAATCAATTAAAAGAGTTAAAATGATTGATTTTGGGGAACAGAAAATTTTGGTGGAGTGTCAGAATTTTTGTAACAACCTTGTAAAATCTACTTGATCTTAATGTGACTTTGATAAAAATAAAAACTAAACATTTTAAAAGTTGAATAACACACTACAGTAAATATCTGTAGTGCCTGATAAAAGCTTAGCATCCTTAATGTGTGACAACTTTTCAAATCCCTGACATCTGTATCTCATAGACAACATGAATGTGCAGTTCACCAAGTAAAATATGTAAGTGGAGAATAAATACATGAAGTATTGTTATAAAGCAAAGAAATACAAATTCAAACTAGGAAAGACTTTACTTTTATATTTACTTGTCCTCAACTTGGCAAATATTTAAAAATAGTGTATCATTGCAGGTACATAAAATGCAAACTTTCTTTTCTTTTCTTTTTTATGTTTTTGGTTTTTCTCTAGTACCAGGAATCGAACTCACAACCTTGCACTTGCCAGGCAGGCACTGTGCCACTGAGCTAAATCCCTGGCCCCACAAAATGCAAACTTTCAAACAGTGTTGGGAAGAATGTACAGTAATTGGCACAGGCTTTCTGAAGAGAAATGTAGTAATCTATTGCAAAACTCTTAAAAGTATAGGTATATGTTTTGATCTAATAATTTCATTTCTGGAAATTCGTTCTTAGTTGTTAAAGGGGTGCATAAAGTGTTAGCTATAAGGAAGTTTATCAAAGCTATGTTTATAATAATGAAAATTGGAAATAACCTAAACTTCTGCATGAGGGAGCTGATTAAGTATAAGACAATAAAATTTTAAAAGACTGACAAAAAATATTATTGAAACAGTTTTAGTTACGTACTATGCTCATCCTATAAGTGCAAATATAATTTAGAAAATGGTATGTACCATATGATTTTATGTTTTTAAATACACACACACACATCTCCTAGGAAAAAGAATAAAAATGGTTGATATCTTGGGCAGTTACTTTGTAATGGTCTTTCACTGGTCCCCAGATTGGATCCTCTTAAGGAAATAAAGTCTGAAGACCTTAAAAAATATACAGTGGCTCTTGGAAGTTCAAATGATGATGTGGGAAGGCTGAACTCCATGACATTTCTGAAACATAAGCATGTGAGTGGCTTTGGACTGTACAGATGAAGGACTGATGGGTTTAGTTGTGCATGAGCCACTTGGCCCCCAGATGCCTAACCTCTGTCATTATACACTGTAGCCCTAACTAACTGCTGGCTTGGTCTGCAGAGCAGCTAGAGACACTCTTGGTCATTAGTGCCACTGGTGGCCCCTGCTGACCTGAAAACTACTGTATTAAGCTTTAAGCCCTCTTTACGTGGAGACCTGACCCTCAGGAATAAAGGAGGTGATGTAACAACTTGCTCCTTTTACTCATACCTTGTGAATCTGTTTTCTTTGTGTTAAGGACATG